TTGCCGCTATCACCTGTTCGAAATCTACCATCAGGCATGAGAACTCGTACCACAGTGAGAGGTTATGTACACGTCTGTTGTGCTCTTCAGGATATCGTACCTGATTTGATGAAATCCCTCCTCGGTAGATGGACGACTGCGATGATGGAACAACATGGGTATGTGAATTGGTATGAATGTAACAGGGAGGTAGAGATGCTTCTGGAAGCAGGTGAGGGGTCTTCTTCCTACGACGGGCTGTGCGCATGAGGAGTTTTGTCTTGTCAGGGTTCCCACAGCTGCGTCTGGAACCACAGCATTCGAGACTTATGCGCCTTCAAGACTTCTATCAGGCAATTTTGCTCCACTCAGCTGCCTGTGAGGTCTATGCAGGAACTTCATCACACGCTGGACGAGGTGAGCAGCTTGCTCGATATGCAATATGCTTGATAACAATGCTCGTATCAGTTTCACCTCTCCTCGTCGCTGCTGTTTCGAAGCTTTCTCGTCCGCCTCGCCAGAGTCCTACTTTGGCAATGCGAATCAACTTTGGTCGGTGGCTGAGCCGCTTTCTGAACGAGAGAGGCTATCAATCCTGGCCGGGTTGGTTCGCTGATGGTCGAGTGATACATGTCATGTTGAGAAGCACGTTCCCTCCCCTGAAGCGAAGGAAGCGTGCTGCTCTACGAAGCCTGGCAGCGCTCTTTGGGGCTAATGATACGACGCTGGAGAGGTCGACTTCTGATCGATTTGCTGGATTGCGGCTGAGGGAATACGCGTCGTCGCCCGAGCTCGACCGGCGGGACATTTGAAATGAATCCTCTTGTCGACGAACTTTTCAATCTCATTAATCTCGCTGCCATTTCGTGATGCCTCGGGACTCTGGGGTTAAGGGCCGCTCCAAAGAACTGCAGCGGCTCACCACAAATCTTTCATTCGGCTCACCGTAATTGTTTGTACAGTTACTTCTCTCAGCTGAATTTGCTCGTGTTTATCTCATTGGTAGCACTGTTGCTGTAGAGTCATACAGGTTTTGTATTGCTTGATCCCAAACCGCTCATTCGCCTCCAACAGATGGGACATAGCATCAAGTTCACCTTGTATCTCTCCAGAACGTAACCGTCTTTGTGTTTGGGATTTCATCCTTCGTCGTGGTGTGATGCGGCTGCTGGTGCTGATTTGTAGCTATGGACATGTCAGCTTCTTCCCGTTCGTTCTACAATACGACCGGAGAGCTTTTCTCTGCGCGATGGGAGGATTTCTTGGCGACTCCCATCATAGATAGCATGGAAAATGATCATATGCTTTTTGTAGAACAATGTTTCCAAAGATGACCCCGGCCTTCACGACTGCTTGGGTCGTGCGATACGACTCGACCTAGGAATGCCGACCATATTGGATGGAGGATTCTCGCTCATCTCGCCTTTGCTTGGCGAGTGACATCGAGATGCGCGTGCGTGCTGATGTGCGAGAATGGAACTTGAGCCGCCTAGGAGAGGACTATTTCGCCCTGGCTAAGATTTTCTGTGGAATTTCCGGGGCAGCTATGCCACGTCAAGATATGTCTTAGGTCGCTTCGTGGGGGCGCCTATGCCGCGTCGAGATATGCCCGAGATCGGTATGTGGGGTCCCT